TAGATTTTAAAGTGCAAACATGACTGATGTTTACATTTGAAAAGTTTAGATTCAATAAGAAATTATATTTAAAATACAGCGGTATGAAATAAAAAAGTATATTCACTAAAATCCAAAATACCGATCAGAAACGCAAATGAAGACCTTATTTTCGGAACTGGCAATGGCTCTCTATCACCTCGAGTTTCAGACAACTAACGCCGACTTGCTGCTATCATACGTTTACCATCACCATGAATTTCAGAGTACTACTGCTGCCTCTTATACCTGCATACTCTTCCCGTCACTTTCACTCCTTAATTATTTGGCAGGTAATTAGAAAAAATAACTGGTTTTCCAAAATGACGCTGTCAACGGCTTGAGAATGTTCTCATTACTGAAAAAGGTTTATATGAATAGTAATGAATTTCACCCCTTGACAGCATTAAGAAAATGAAGACGGTTTCACTCTACTTGTTTGTGAAATCTTGCTGTAACATTAGGTCTCAGCATATAAGGGGTGGAGGGTTGCGCTTGGAAAAATGCGAAACTGGGGGTACGTGCAAAAGAGAGTCCTTCCTCCATTGTATTGTGACAGGAATCTGTAGAGCGTGACAAAATCTAGCTGGAACGGGGCTCACCCGTAACTACCAATGGGACACGGAGTATCAAGGGGGACTCTCCGGCACGACACAGCACTCATCAGCAGATGGCGGGGCGCACAAGTATTGCATAATAGCAAGACAGTGAAGGTAATCGAGAACTATTAAATGGTAATTTCACCCTTTTAAATGACATAAAAATTCTAATTGGACAGGTAAATGCAAATAGAATCCTTTCTGCCTTTTCTGCGACGAATGAATAAGTTGTCGTTGACTGTGCTATCAAATATCTCAGCTCCTCATTTCAAATAGGGTTGAATGTTACTTTGACACTTTTTACAGGTGTGACAGGAATGGAAGTCCGCTAGGAACCGTTGTCTGCTTTCCATTACTTTGTACAGGGGACATTCGTCCTATATACTAACCCCAATACTCCAACTAACCCTAACCTGTACAAATCATATAGGACCTGGACTTCCATTCCTAGGATAACTATTCTGCATGTCGCACCTGTATGCACTGTGTATTTACGCATGGATCATGTAAGTGTTGATAACTTTTAAATGACGGTCAGCTAGGCCATCTACCCGGATGCGTGAGGAGGCGAATCCATTTCTCTCACCTCCTCAAGTCGCACACTGTTAAAAAACCAAGAAGTTTTGCCGCCAACAGCTTGTTTTAGATTTGTAACCTTTAAACACATAATAGTTTATCTTTTTAATCTAGCTTTGTATTGCTCCCCTTCATGTGGATCTAGATCATTTCACAAACTACAGTGTGGAAAGATTTCTGGAAATTATATTTGGACAAGCGAATGTTATGCGCTTTGGGCTGTTGAAAAAGTAAAAAGAAATCAGTCATTCACCGGCCTTTACAAAGGCCGTTGGAGGGATAACGACTGTTCGTCTAAGATTCATATTCCACAATAAAATCAACTCATAGAAATATTAAAAAATTTCCATTTTACCACGAAAACAGGGGTTATCGCAATTATTCTGGAATCAGACCAAGTGGACCTTCATAGATGGCTATACCTCCGTAATGCAAAAAAAAAAAAGATCCATGGATTAACCTTGAATGTAGGTTTGGATTCACTAAATATTGGTAATTATGAAAAAAATGCAGTTTCCCCCGAATTTATCTTTTTGTGGCCAACATTAGCAGTTGTCTCTTTAACATACCTATCGGAGACGTGACCACACGTCACCCCCAGCTTAGAACATTCCACTTGGTCCACCTTTACCCCTGCGCAGGACTTCACTGGGTAGATATACAGCTCCGAGATTTCTCCCACGTACTGCAAACTTTTCTGCCTTTTCCACCAACTGAAGTAAGAAAAAGCGAATTTCATGAGAGATCCGGAAATTAAGGCAGCAAAAAGTGCAGCCTCGTCCCACCGCCCCTCCATTGTGGATACTAATGTGTAAATATAATTAATGCTCGTTTTTCTAACATTAACCTTATGAGGGCAGGGTGTTAACGTCTGCGCAAGCGTTTCAAATCTAGGTCAGGTCAATGGCTAACATGTATGGTAGGGGTCGGTCATTCCCTGGCACGTTAAAGACTAGGTTCACATGCCTCGATCGATCAAACAGGATCGATCCATCTCCAAGGGGTTTCTCGCTAAATTGCTTTCAGGTTAAGCTGCTTAAATGTCTGGCACGCCTACTGAAGCTTCAACTGGTGTCTGTTCCGCCGTTGCTGTGACAGTGCTAATATCAGCAGTTAATTTCTCCCTGCTGCTTTCCTCAGCATTATTCATGAAGTTCTTAACAGATTCGTATATATTCGTAGTCAGTCCTTGCAATACTTGATCAGTCACCAACTGATTACGATTCAACCACAAATCCTGAAATTTGTCAATACCTGGCGATTCGTGGGATTCGTGGTCTGTGTAAAATAGGGGCATTAACTAGGCACAAACCGCGAATCATTAGCGATTTCACTTAAAACATAATCGACAGCGTTGGTGTAACCCTGGTCTCCGTAACTCAAGCGGCTGACTCCATAACTCGCCCATGCTCGCCCAATATAATACATTGTAGCCTCTATGTGATATCGCTATTCGCAATACGCGATGCTTTCGAGATACGGGGCCCAGGTCCCCGTAACTCAAGCGTTTCGATTCCATAACTCGCCCACACTCGCCCCATTTAATACATTGTAGCCTCTATGTGATATCACTATTCGCAATACGCGATGCTTTCGAGTCCTGGTTGTTATATCTCTCCCAGTTGCAAATCAAAAGGTAAAGATGGACCAGCCTGTCCATACCGATTCCACTGAAATATGATGAAAACGAATGCAAAATATGTTTTAATTTATTCATCTCGTGATACGTTTAAAAGCAAATGTTGTCTGTGAATGTGTTCCCATACCTACATGGTTCTAACAGGATCGATCCATCTCCGAGAGGTTTCTCCCTAAATTGCTTTCAGCTTAAGAGGCTTAGATGTCTGGCACGCCTACTGAAGCTGCTAAACGACAATTAATTACCCCTTTGCAGCTTCAGTTGTCCAGGGAATACCGATAAGTTTTATCAATTAGCGGACTACAACTGTACTTACCCAGTTGCTATCTGATATAGACCTATTTTTCGCTTAGTGTGTAAACCTACGTAAATATCCCATAAGAATTATAAAAACTGTTCCGTCTTAATTATCTGTAGGTTTATCACTGATTGCCATATCATATCAGCCTCTTCGTTTTTCTATAAATCTAATAATAAACTTGTCAGTGTTAAGTCTGTGTAACAGAGAGATTGCCTACATTAGATTCATACCGGTTAGTGTTAGCGTGACGCAGGCACGTTTCAAGCTAGGACGCGGCTTACCTCTACAAATCAGTGGGAACCGGATGATAATCTCCATCTCGGAATATCCATTGGTACACTTCAAGTCAGTGCAGTTTATTGTACATTAGGTTTACTCGAGCAACATTGTGTCACACTTCGTTTGATAACAAAAAAAAAAAAAAAACACTGTTACAGTTCGCACACACAGTCCCAATATCCTGTGCAAAACAATCCTTTTCATATTTCTATCTGGCTTAGAGAGATTACAAACGCAGCAGTGAATGGTTTTAAAAAATCAGAGGCGTCCGGAAAGCTTATTGCTTGGACTAACTTGCATGCACAATGCATTTTAAGAACACAAAATACTGTATTGTCAACAACTATTAACCAAACAGGCAATTAAGGTTACGGCAATTCAGAGATGAAGCAGGAAGTTGAAACGGCTGAAAGCCACGTCGAGATCTTATCATTGGTTATTCTCCACGCGTTCCCATGGCAACTGCAGATCGGCGAAAAGAGGAAGTTGAATGATGCTTGGCGCTTTGGAAAGTACGAGAGAGCAGCCAGCCTCCTTCTGTGACATTTTAGATCGCGTAATGACCCTGCAAATACATCAGTCTGACAAAGATTTTGTATATCTAAATTAAAGGAGGACTTTTTTTCCATGTTTGATGACATTCGATACACAGACTGTTAGAACAGAGGGCATATTGAAATGGAATACACAACACTTTCAAATGACAGCGGAGGTGGAGATAATCCGGAACGTTACAACAGCTATGTGTACACCAGAAATATGGACATCATTGGTTTCATTTGTGCTTCCCTCGGTGGAGCAGTGAACATGGTATCCCTCTGTGCCCTGCGTGCTTTTTCCATTAAGAAGAAAAGATCCGGGCGACTTCTGATCAACCTTGCATTCTCAAACGTCATTTTTTGTTCAATTCTTATGCTGTACAGTGCGCTGGACGCTGCAAGGTTGACCACCGAAATTTACAATGGTATCAACTTCTCAATGTTTCAATCTAACGTTGCATATGGATATGACGTCGACGTCACATCGGATCGTACCACGTCTCTGTATGACGTCATTTTTGAATATGAATATGACGCAACATTGCAGCCACGCTCCCCGAACGGAAATGACGTCAAAATCTGGCACGACAGTGGCCCACTTTCATGTCTGTACCTTTTTTCCGTGTCTTTGGCCTGGATACGTGAACTTTTCCCGTTCTTGGCTACAACGTGGCTTGTTGTGGACCAGTTTATGGGCGTGGCTTTCCCACTACGTCACGACCAGATCTTCTCAACTAAAGTTGTCGTATTGTTGATAGTGTCCACTTATGTTATACCACTTTTTTATTTGACCGTCATACTAAGATAGACTGTACGGTGTTTTTCTTTAATAGATATAGGCACATGGAATACCTAGATCCCTATTTTGTCGCTAGTGGTATTTTGGTGGCGACAGTGTTTCTCACGAACTTGGTCTTGTATTTGTTGCTCATGGTTATTGTAAGATGCCAAAGGATTCATTTAACACGTACAAAAAAACATAAGTCAAAAATAGGAGAGAAGGAAGATCGTAATGTTTGCATTATTGTCAGCCTGTTGTTTTGCACTTTGTTTGTTTTCTGGTCACCAATGGTGGTTCTGTATTTTTTGACAATATTTAACAAAGGGGACATTGACCATTCGGTCATCGACACTGTGGCGTTTATAACGGCCCTTAACCCCTTAGCGGACGCGGTGGTGTACGGATTACGTCTTGAACAAGTTCGCAAGGCGTACAGTTCCTTCTTCAAAAGAATTATACAGGGTTGTTCGTGTAAATTTGAAGTTTTGTGAAACTATACAAAATGTACACTAGTGTGTGTGAATATTCATTTCAGTGATGGATTAAATGGCGTTAACGCTGTGGGATTTGGGATTTGGACGCTGTAGAACAGTTCAAGTGTGGTATACTCACTATACAACATTGGTCAAAAAGGTTGTCCAACCTCCAATTCCACGTGTTTTAGTTTAAAAATGTTCACAGATTATTGACCTTTAACGAGCACTTCCTTATTGTAATTATGTGAAAATTTGGTAATTCTTGATGGTGTCTTTTCAATTTAAGGAACATGTCTATACTTCTTGGGAGATCACAGTGAAACGTCGAAGTTAGGAGGAACATGTTATAAGTGTGAATAATAGTGTAAAATATGGATATATATTTTGTATTTTGAATCATTAACCATATATATATATACCGTTGTTCAAAGATGATTGTTCTAATACGTATAATGTTTCCAATTTGAAACGTAATTAAGGATGGAGTGTTTTATTTCTTTTTTCTTTCATTCACTTTTTTGTCTTATGCAAAACATCTTAACAAAGACTACAACTGCACCTTGGTAAGATTTACAAGGTACATTTCCGAAAAGATCCCCAGTCTAAACAATTCCGTCAATCTCGCATTTTATTTCAAAGAAGAAAGAGGAGATAAGTCTTGCTCGGTTTATTAACTGGACATAAATTTAGCCACACAATTCTTACTTAGCATCCTATATATATGTAATAAGACCATAGCAGGTAAATCACTTCACTAGTTCAGAGGTATTCTGATAATGGTTTTATTTCCAGTAATCTCTTAGACACGAGATGTTGGTTAATAATCCATATTAGAAAAATATTACGTTTTCACATCCTCTGCAGTTTTTTTATCATTTGGCAGAAGTACATAAGGTTGAAAAATGAAAAAACGAATCGCTATTGTTTCGACGTTTTCCCTATAACACGGTAACGTACACTAAAAAAAGACCAATCACGAACAATTTATTCAATCAATATTTAATGCAGTATAAAGAAAAAACATTTACACCTAGAGATCACAGGGAATTGTTCAATTAATAACTCCTATTGTCCCAATCTGCTCCATTATCTACTTGCACTATTAATGTCATTAAGATAATTAGGATTGCAAGCGGTTTATTACGCAATTAATACCATCTGTAGAGTGGCTGATTTGAAGTGAGGGAAAGTAAGCTCTTCATCTGTTTGGAATTCATATGTACATTAGTATCAGCATCCATCAGCAGTTGTTATAATTTTTTAACACAAAGCCTTAAGCTAATTATACACTTACACCTTTTAAAAAGCTTACAAAACAAGAAAGCTTATACAGGATAATGGATTGCCGTTATGGCTTTCCCTCTACCAGAGTAGCAGTTATTATAGGGGAATCGTGGAAAAGCCACCCTGTAACTTTTGGCCAGATGGAAGCAATTTAAATTAAAAAATGTGTACGTGCACAGATGGCATTGCACCCGCTCTGTAGGGAGCTATTACTATAGATTCCTCAGTTAATCTTAAGCAACAAGCTATTCATAAGGGGATATTTTTATCTGTCACAAAAGAGCAATTGATTAAAGCCAGAGCAATTAACTGTCATGATTACTGTCAAGGAGACTTAGCTTGGGTCTGTTAAGTGGCAGGGCTTGAGCAGTTATGCAAACAATTACCTGCCATGTAATCAGCTTGGAGATTTCATCACAGGGTGACAGAAAACCAAATGACTGTCTATTTAACTAAAGACATATCTGTGAATATCTTGTTAAAAATCAATCTGCCGCCCTGGTGGAGGGTACTGTAGCTATGGCATAGTTCACAATATTGACTAAATAAATCTTTATGTTGTCTTATCTTGCTTTTTGGTTTACTTGTTTTTAAAGGAATGGCACCTCGTCGAATGTGATTTTAAACTCCACAATAAGCACATTATAAACATCAAATAGCAATTATTCTGACATATGTACTTGCCATCAGATCACGCTGACCTTCATAACTTTGAACTAACTTTGAATATCGTAACGGATTCAATAACAATTGTAATTGCTATATTACTAATTAGCATATATATATAAGTATGGGAAAATCGACGTTTACCCCAAGAAAATCCATTTTTCGGCATTTTCCCGTCAAATAGTGTGATAGGAAGTGGGCAAATTGCGTATTTATTATTCCACATCAACAATAAATACAATCACCCTAAATTCTATCATCGAGTATGGCTGTCATCTTTCTCACAATCGGGAAATACCTGGGGGTCTATAGATCGTGACATTAAAGTGCACCTTACAATCTCATTTATACTCGCAAGTAAATTGTGTAATCCAGGGATAATCAATACAAGCGCCATGCAATTGCAGTAAAAAAAGGGGCTGATACGAAAATAAAATATTTACAATGATTGTCAAGTCACGTAAGAGGGTAAAAATCCCGTGTAACCTGAGAAAATACATTATTTACAACAAAATTCTAATTATTAAAATAAAAACTTATATATTAAAAAAAAAACACTCAAAAACGGAGGCTTGCAACGACAAATAATCTATACAATCGTATTTAAAACGCATGCACTAGTATTGATCTATATATTAAATATATTATATTACACTACGTTAACAAATTATATACTTATTTGTCACTCATTTTAATCTCTGATAGCTTCTGTATATGTACAGTATAAGTCACACGTCATGAGTAGATTAAATAAATTTAATCGAAAAGAAAGTGGATAAGTATGTAAAGAAAGGAATTGAAAAAAAAGAAAACAAATAAAAACATTGTATCAGGAAGGGTAGTCAGCCAAAAACCGGAGTCTGTTTCCGATATTTTTTTACAGCTAACTTCTGAAACTTCTATTTGATCTTAAACTGTGTTACTCAAATGGCACCCTGGACCTCTTTCCTAGCACAGACAAGAATAAAGACTGTACATGTACACTTTCATGGTTCATTTGAGATATTTAAGAATTGGAATAAAATTATAATTAATGATTGAGAATTAAAACTCAGTAAACGCACTTTGATATGCAAATCTTGTGTATATATAATGTCTTGCGTGCATATAATATCTTGCATTGAACATATAATGTCTCGGAATGCAATTCTTATGTACTTTTTCTTGTAATGTCCTGTGTTCCTTCCGGTTTGCAGATAAGGGTTTTAATTTTAAGTAAAAACCACCGACATGTGTAATAATCGTTTTGGAATGAAAATACTACATTAATATAGGCGAATACAGGGGATATAGGGTAAAAAATACCACTCTGGGTATTTTAAGACAGTAGATAATACCAAAAGACATTTAAACTAATATTAAAAGATAACGTGGAAGTGGGCAGTCCTAATTCAGAGGCGGATTAAGAGGTAAGGGGTCCTGACACCCCTTCGGATTCTGAAAAATATATCACACCAATACCCCCCTTTTGAAATTAGAATTTTGACTTGCTAAATCATAGTTCTAAACCGTACCAAAGAGCACATTTTGCCCTCCAAAACACCAAAAAGTTTCGGGTCCCTTGAGCAGCCACGAACCCAACGTCAAGGGGGCGATGGTCGACTTCGCAGCCGAGGCTTGTCGCTCCGGACCCCCTTCAAATAATCCTTGATCCGCCCCTGTACTTAGACATTCAGAATAGAGCAGAGAGACTGTGACATATATATATATATGTGTGTGTGTGTGTGTGTGTGTGTGTGTGTTGAGGCCACTTAGCTGGCACTTTACATTACGTAATAAGTCAAGAAATATTTTTTAAAAAATCTTTACTACATACAGTAGGAAAATGGAATATGAAAATCAGTATGAACATAACAATGACTCTTGAAATAAAAATAAATCCATTTCCCGCGACTCCAAATTACTAAATTCCTTAACCAATAATCACTTTGTCGGGTCTTATTGCAACAAGTAATTCGCCGTTTTAGAAAGAGATATACAGTTTTAAATATCTAGTATTGTTCTATATATGCATAATTTGAGGCCCACGGACAATGTCTTTTCAAATAGGCCTATGGAAGTTAACACTATCAGCGACTTGGATATTTTGAAATTTGTTTTACAGTCATACCTCTCTCTTTAAAAAAATAATACGTGGATTGTGAAGCAGAAACAAACCCCACAGTAAAACATTAATGAAGATTTTTTTATATGCAAGATAATGTCCTTGATATACATCTAACATTTCTTTCAGTTTAAACAAATTGGTCAGTCCGTCTTTGGCCGAAGCTTTTAAAATCACTGAAAACTCTTGATCGTCAATCCTTGCGTCTGAAGTCTCTTTTCTGTAAAAGTCGCTGTTCTGTGGTTGCTCAGCCGGAATCTTTTCGTGACTTGTCCTAATAAAGACCAAAAAGTCGTTTGTGTATTGAAAAACAGAAGAAAATCGTGTTCTAGCTTTGTATAAAGTGAAAAGGGAAATTTTTTCTGAATTCTCTGACTTTGTTAATTTTTTTTCTAGCCTTATCCCTCTATTTACCACTGATATTACATTTTTGTTAAGTGAAAAACGGGGAATACGTTAACAAATGCCAGAATTTGCTTGAATAAATGAGTGCTTGGGTTATAAAATATATTGAACAATTAAACAAGAAGAGATCTGGAACTGAATCAGTCAATACAGTCACACACACACATGCATACACACACACGCGCACGCACGCACCCACACACACACACACGCACTACAATAACAGGTCATTTATGTTTATCCTCCGCACCAACTTATTTATATTTACCTGATCACAGGGGCTTTTTACCTGGGAGTCGCGTTCTATAAAAGTCTCCAGCATCACATCTTCGTATTTCTTTCCAACGCAAATTTCATCCGACTTTTCAAAATCCAGCATTTTGCTTGACTTTCCATAGAACAATCGTCGGTAACCTGGCAGTATATACAGCTCTTCTACGTCACTGGGATGGGTCGGACCTTAAGGTAATAAAGATTTTATAAGAATTTATATTGACCAGAAAAAAATAGACAAATCTAGACAACTTAGCATGCAGGCAAACATGCATATATGCAGACATCAAAGGAGAAAAACGCTGTCAAGTACATGAAAAGGCTAAATAAAATAATTGTGTAATTTTCGTGATAATAATCAGAATATGCAATTTTCGGACTGAACCTTTTTTTATCAAATGAAAGTAAAAATAAAACAAAAGCACCGTTTTGCAATAACATTGTCTTCTTTCAAAAATGAACTTAATACACTAGTAATTTACATATGAAAAGGACACTCATTTAATCATAATAAATGACAGCATAACATAAAAATTCAGGACAATGCAGATTGATATAATAGTACTGAAGGTGTTATTACCTATTCACGTATTATATTTCATATATATGTTTTGGTGTTTTGCAGAATTAATGTAATATTGATTGCCTAACAGATGAGTAGTAACCTTAGCTAAGAGGTGGAAAACAATGAGAAAAACGAGACAAGCTGCTGCACAATATAATATTTAATACTGCTTTTTCAAGCTTTCATATGTTGTATTCGCGAAGTTTCTTTACGCGAGGAACATCCAGGAAGGCTTGTGTGCGGTGGCCCACAAGTGCACTNCAAAATCCCCTAGCCCATCTTAGAATATTACTTCCGACTTTATACGGCAGTGAACGGGGTTAAAATATGAATTCGGAGTGAGGTTTACGAATTCGGAGTGAGCTTTTTCAATATTCGGAGTGAGGTTAACGAATTCGGAGTGGGGTTTACGAATTCGGAGTGAGGTTTGCGAATTCGGAGTGGGGTTTACGAATTCGGAGTGGGGTTTACGAATTGAGAGTGAAGTTTAAATATTCGGAGTGAGGTTTAAGAATTGAGAGTGAAGTTTAAATATTCGGAGTGAGGTTTAAGAATTGAGAGTGAAGTTTAAATATTCGGAGTGAGGTTTAGAATTGGGAGTGTCGTTTGGAATTTGGAGTGCACTTGTGGGCCACCGCACTTGTGTCGGTGAAGCTTTCATATTCTGTTGCCGTATGTCATATTCGTGTAAAGTAGAAGTAGGCCTAGGTAACAAAATAGGAAACAGAATCAAAGTAACTTTCACATTTACTGCTCATAACATTAATTGAATTTACGAATAAAATTTAAAAAATGAAATTCGTCTTATTTCAGGAAGAAGCACCCACCGTACAGCAGAGCCACCTATCGTCAATTTACCTGTTATCAAGCTGACTATCATACCGACCAGCAGCGTCAGCAGAATCCCGATGCAACCATACCACATGTAAGATATAGCGTATAAGTATTCAAGTCCTGTTCTGCAATGACATATTTAAACGATGTGATAAATTAGAGGAAAACACCGGTCCAAATAATTTTTCGGTACTAAAAATAATTAAGAATCGGTAAAATTATGCACACATCCTTTCATTAAAATGTAAAATTCTTATTTTCCTCCAATCCCTTATTCATTCGATTGTCGAAAATAATTGCCAATTTAAAATGTCTTCAGCGAAACACAATTCTTTTCACTCACCTTACTTTCAAATAATAACAAGTAGCGAGAAGGGCTTCCTCATTGATTGTGTTGAAAACAAAATGTTGGTGATACATGGCATACAAAACCCCACTTCGCTTTATACTTACAATGTATACTCTGCTCCATGTGATTCTGTTCCGTTTAGATATCCCATTGATGTTGTCTCTAGCGCACCTGTTGACGTCATATATGACGTCATGTACGACGTCACGTTATCGAACGTAACATTTTCCGCGGTGAAATGGCACCCGCTAATAGGGACGGGTTCTACAGGAGGATTGTAGGATTTGATTTTGGTGACGTAGGCACCGATGGAAATCCAGAACAACAACCCGAAAGAGGACAGAGCTCCGGCACAAGCACCCTTGTTAAGGAAAAGCAATGAATAAAATTCAATTATCACGAGCATTAAAGGCATCGCCTTGATACAACTTTGACGATACGATCTAAGTGCAATCCTTACTCTTAAGATCAAATTAAACAACTTTATAAACATTTTGAATTATTAGACGTAAACCGATCGTTATTTTAATTCTTATATGCTAGAATTGACCTACAGCTACATGTAACTACCGGTACTATTAAACATGTGTCAATGAAAATCGTTAAATATAGACCTCTGAAATGCCATACGTACTATCCAATTAGCCCAGGGGAAGAGACCCCCCAGTAAGAATAAACCAGCAAGAGGACCCGCTGTAGCTCCTCCAAAGCTTAGTGATATCTGAAACACAGACATTGAGGTTTGTTAATTGGTAATTTAAGCGATTTTCGAAATTTATTTAAGCGTAGCATTTGACTACTCAGTAGCATCCTTAGAACTTGACACATCATATCATAGTAACGGTTACTTGTGGAAGAAAGGAAGAATACATGTAAATCCCCATTGGTTTTCTTACCACTAAGGTGAATCCAGGATGTGTCGCTTAGAATAATTTTAAAATGCAGTGATCAGAATTCTACTTTTTCCTAAATAGTGGATACTTTAACAGACAGAAAGACAGCCAGATAGTTAGTGTTCGTTACCTGGGTAACGGGACCTCCCACTGTCATGCACAGAAAGGCTACTAGCATGCCCAAAACACCAACAATAACGACTGAAATGTTAATAATCTCATTGAGCTTTGTGTGCGATAGATATGTTTAAATTAAAGGTTCAGAACAGCTTTAATCAAAACACAGTGATCAAAGACTATTTATTGCTAGGTTGTCAGCTAATCAAAGGCGAAAATTATTACTTTGCAGAAATGCACAGTTCATGGACTAGCTAAGTACATTGGTCGTCAAAGTTTTCCTGCATATTTTCGAAGCAGACTGAACCAACCTATGCCCGCGAAATGCAAAGAAAAGCCACCTGAGATTTTTCCCAGGTAAATTCGTTTTAAATGTTTATCAGTGACCCACCAAAAAGGGAAAATCTGTTTTATTACCTACGGTCTTGGTAAACAGTGTTTGTTTCCAGTCAGGCCAGTGACCAAAGTGAGGTTTGAAATAATCCTCCCATATAATGGCCGCTGAGCCGTTCATTGTGGACGAATTGGAACTGCAAGAGAAAAAATAATTAATCTGAAAAACAAGCAAAACATTTTGAATAACGGATAAGTCCCATTCCATTATATATAAAAAACTTAATATTACCCCGAGATATAATGGTCGTAATTTTGTGAACATGTTCGGATGTGCCATACCCTAAGATAAAGGCAAAAGTATTGCCTTTTTTAGGGGCAAAACAATCTTTGCTTTCCTTGCATTGTGTGCTTTCAATATCCTCTGCAATAATTTTTAAATATTTTAAAATACAACCAAGAGTACCTCAGTGCTCCACTAAATAGAGTGGCAAGAAATAAGCCGGAGACGCCTGGATTTGACTCAAAGATCTGACTGACAAACAAAGACAGCATCTGAAAGACAACAGGGATAACCTAATCAAACAGTCACAACACTTTAAGGCTCCAGTCAAAAACTTTTACTTTGCCCCGGTTCTTTTGGAACACATGTATTTTATTTCTCAGATGCAAAAAAATTGATAAACTAGTAAATGTGTATAAAGGTATATAAATGGTATGAAAATTACGTTATTATTATTATTTTTTTTAATATACTTGATGGGCCTACACTGCATTTTATAGTTTTTTTGTGCTTAGCACTGCAAAAGTCTGCTAGGCAAGATCGAGATCAAACCTGATTTCCAGAGTTAATATTTTCTTGTGATTGCATTGGATCGCACGCCAGCTGGGTGTAGTAGGTATACACGATCATGCCGAGCAAACAGACCGGTATAGACAGAGAGAGAAGACCGGGGATGTTGAGGAATACTGCCCTGGAAACGTAATAGGAGATTTTACGAACAATCTGAAAGTAGTGGTCGCGAACCAATCAATCAATCAGGCTCATTCTCTTTAACTGAAATTTAGTTATTCAGTGAATCTACACTGTTTCTACTATTTCGTAGATATAAAAACTACACCGAATAAAATCTAAGCACACTTTTTCCATGCTTATGAACTACATAGATTAAGGAAAATAAACGACGATGCTGTAAGATACCAAACACTGATTGTAACACCACCAATTATTTATGGAGTGTCTCTTCTCGCTCTCTTTCACCCCCTCAAAACAATTCTCTCTCTCTCTCTCTCTCTCTCTCTCTCTCTCTCTCACACACACACACACACACTTACCATCTTGCCTGTGTTTTCGACTTAGCTGTTGATATTCTCTGTATGGAGGCTTGATTGGTGGCGTACACACCAAACCAGGTGAAGGCCGATCCAATGACGACTCCCCAGAATGTGTGACGAGTTGTAGGGTTAGGATCCAATCTTTAGGAAAATAAGAAGAGAAATAATTTTTATTTTTTATTGATACCATTACCGTTTGTGCAACTAATTTTGTAACCAATCGCCCCCACTATGGTCTACATATGTTTTTGAATCTGCCTTCCTAAAACTGAAACAGAGGCCGCTAGCTACCTGAACAAATCTAAAAACTCTTACAGTCCGGCCTCAGTTTTACTTCCATCTGGCGAGTGATCAGTGATAAGGTTGCAGACTTCACCTCAAAACGATTATATCAAATAATATTCTCTGAAGTAGTTTAAACCATGATGTACCGGGGTAAACTCACATAAGCACTTCCATACGGCCTCCGTCGTGCACTGTGTTCCATACATTTTCTATCCCTCCTGCCACAGAGAGACCCTTGAAATAAATTGATACAGGCATTTTATTGGCCTCCAAAACCACTTGGAAGCTAATTCAGTCATTACATTTATTATCGTTTATCTCAAATTGATCGTTTGGAGTGGATTTTTCTAGTTTGTTGCCAACTGAAGTTATTATGGACATTGCTCCCACTGTAACTCGAATGAATCCGAAACCAAATTTATCACATTTTCTGGTGTCAAAGAATCCGTTTTAAGTAGTGTGTAATTATCATATAATGTACTGAGAGAGAGAGAGAGAGAGTACCTTGCCCAGTACGGCAAATATTCCAGCCTCCATCACAAGAAACTGAAAGACGTCAGTCCACAGCACTGCCTTCATGCCACCCTGAAATCACAATAATTGTAAAAAAAAATCTATACAGTCCAATCATTTCCTATATTTCTATGGGGATTGGTGATCATCTTGGACATTTAAAGTTGTCCAAGTTACCACGGTGGAGTAAAAAAAATCATAGGAATAACTATTTCTTGGTTTTCGAGAATTTTGCCTGGATTTTGGTAGTAAATTATAACCTTGGAAAATACCCCTGGCACGCTTAAACGAGTTTCATTTTTAAAAACTGCAAACTTAATGGACAAAATGGCTGATGAACACAAAAACAAAGTAAATGTACGTTTAAATAAACCTTTGTTATAGGATGTAGAATTTTCAGTTTGTCATAGCTGGGGCGTTACTGGTATGTACCCGATTGGATGCTTGTAAATAGGAAATAACTTGCAATACATGTTAGAATTCCTATAAAGTCATATATAGGACATTGTATAGATAGTATTTGTAAAGGGTAGCAGAGATATATATATACTGGAAATATACTCACTATCGAAGTGTAGAATGTGGACACAATGGAGGCAATAAGGATGGACATCCACAGAGGAAACCCTGTAACTATGAACAGAATGATATCTGAGTTAAAATATTTTCTTCGCGAAAGTATAGCTAACATACTTGTAGTATTGCGTAATATTATATACTAAATATATTCTTTTTAAGAATTAAGACTTATCGCTTAAGTTTGATTTGTTTTTAGCAGAATAATCATTTGACCCTGCCTATAAACATTATGGGATGATCAAAATTACACATACTTAACGAAAGTTTAAAAGTAATTGTTTTAAATTTCTTTAAGATACAAATGAGGAGATGGCTGTGTCGGCGCAGAGAGAGAGAGAGAGAGAGAGAAGGAAAGCGAGAGAGGGAAGAATGAGGGAAGAGAGTGAAGACAGAAAATGTGCCAAAACCGGAAGTACCAGCTTCTACTGCTGTAGAAGGAGCGTATGTTGCTGTTCCCATATACAGAATCTATAATAGAATTAAATCCATTCATATTATAATAAATACAATTATACATGTGAATAATTATATACAATATATCTATAACCATTTTCTATTTATAAAAAGCAGGAACGTGACACATTTTTATTAGACATATCTTTATGATAACAAAAACATCTGAATCATATTACTACAAATAAGACCGATTTTCTGGCGAAATGAAAAGTCGGCCAATACTGAAAATTAAAACTCAAGTAATGAACTTTAACACCCCCCTAACACGTGCATGGCAGTAGTACTAAGATATGTCTTTAGAAGATTAAACTGCTTTGTAAGGTTGAGCTCAACTCTGCCACTTTAAAAATGTATGTGTTGACGTTCGTGTAGCAACTCACCCCTCCTAGTAAACCCATAAACGACCCCACCCTGCTGACTGCCTTTGACTGGAATCTTCTCTCAAGGTACTGCGATTGTATAATAATAATAATAATAATAATAATAATAATAATAATAATAATAATAATATAATGAGGGGTAATTTCAGAAATAGACAAAAAGATAGATAGATAGATAGATAGATAGATAGATAGACTTTTTAAGTAAATTAATAGATAGATAAGTTAAATGCGTACAAAAATGAAATCATAGAACAAATTTAAGCCGAGACAAGTATACACCATATCAAGTAAAAAGATGGGAAGTTAGAAGGAGTTGGCATAGGGCCAAAGCCAGGCCAGATAGAGAAGCTCGCTGGAAAAAATACTAACCTCAAAAGAACTGGTAAGATTCAGGGGTCTGTAAAAGGGCACAATAGCCAGACCAGTTAAGAAGATGGCAATTGCTACGCCAACATTTGTCATCCAAAATATCACCCCTAAAATGTAAAAAAATATACACATATTTCAAAATGAAAACAGTCCAAAACAATCGTTATGAGATATTTCCCGTGTCATTCATACGCTCATATAGAACGTCTCAAAGATAAAAGAAACGGACAAACAAGCAGCAAATGCTGAAAAAAAAACTCACCATGTAAATAGATTTCCGCCGTGTACCCCAAAATCATGATGGCTGACTGGAATGACACCAGTAGAGACAGGGCTATCGGTACCAACCCCATCTGTCGGTTTGCAAGCAGGTATTCTTTGGTGGTTTTTTGTCTTCCTCCCACCAGAGAGTAGAAGATGCCGATGGCAGCCGACATGAACATAAGAACGCCGAAGACAATGTAGTCCGCTGCGACCAGGCCTCCCATACTGTCTGGCGTCTGGAAAAATAGAGAAAATTGTGGAAATTGAAGAAAAAGAAGGAATTATTAAGCATAATGATCGTTGACTGTTAGATTGTGCGGTTTGGGAACTTGTTCAGTATTTTTAAATCGTAATTAAAAAGGAGAGTGGTACAGATGAAGTCCGACAGCCACAGTTAATTTTTTAATAATTATGATTTATTCTAAAGTTAAAAAGAAAGAAGGTGCTGGGCATCGGATTGTTAAAAGATTGTTAATTTCTGGTCCTTGCTCTTCCTACCACCGGGATGACTCACGGCTGTAAAATTTTAAAGATTATAAATGTTATAAAGAAGATTGCACATAGCTACGTGCGCTTAGCACAAATGGGCGTATATAACGAGGAAGGTACAGCGTAGAACATTATGGATCACGTGCCCCCCACCCAAACACACACACACAAAAAAAAAAAGAAGGAAATAAGGAAAAAAGAAAAACAGATTGAATTGACTAATGACACAAAAGCTTATAAATCTTAATGCAGAGGTCCACGCCTACTTCTCCATCAAACTCTTAATTAGCTAAATTACTTTACAGCTGCAATATACTCGTAGATGCATACATTTTATTGGACTCAAGTTTAACGAGATTAAGATATAGAGAAAAAATCTTGTCGTTTTAGTTGCTATTTCTGCATGCTAAATATATAAATTTAGGGGGAGTCACGCGCGCCCCGTGCCTCTCACTGCCACAAGAGGATAATGTGTCAAAGGGTGCTAAAAGCATATACAAAGGCCGAAGATCGGTCTTCCGTTAATGCCCATAATTTTAGTTTACTGGGACCCCAATGTAAATCAATGATAGTACACTTTAAAAGTGAGATAAATGTCAAATGATTTAGACCAATAAAATAGTCTCTGTTAGTGGACTCTTGCGGATTATCCTATACTATACCAAACTAACGTTCAAACGAACCTTGTGCCTTTAAAGTTCGAAAGTTATACGTTAGCGTTTCAGCTGTACCGGTATCTTATGAGAAATTGACAGTATAATGCCTTGGCTTTCAAGTAAGAGAGTTACCTAAACGCCCCCCCCCCTCGCCAAATATCAATTAACTTCGCATAAACATTAGGTAAAAAGCAAGTGGAGAACTTGCAAAAAAGCACAAAGTCCACTGTAGCCGGTGGGGGATTTAAAGGGGGGGTCAGAGGGGGTCCTGATCCACCCTTTCGATTTCTGATTTCCTCTTGAAATGAGAATTTTGACTAGCTGAATCATAGTTCTAAACCGTACCAAATGGTACCGTTCGCCTTCTAAACTACCAAAATTCTTCGGTACCGAACCTCACGCCAAGTGTGTGTGTGTGTGTGTGTGGGAGGAGAAGGGGGGGGGGGAGGGTCGGCTTCGCATCCGAGGACCCCCCCCCTTCAAATAATCCTGGATCCGCCCCTGCCTGTAGCGTCCAACCTCTCAAAGCATACCGGTACATCTCGACGTGAAAAGACTTTAAATCAACTCATCACGATTTTAGCAGATTCACTTAAATGTTTACTTACCTGTAGGTCCTTAAATAGAGTGGATTCACAGGTGTTTGAAAGAGGTGTCAAGTCGGTATGATTTCGTTCGGCTGTTATGTACGCAGATGCTCCTGAAATCCCTTTAAAATGCGGAGTGCTGCCTCCTTAT